GGAAAGAACCCATCATCGCTGTCGCTCTGCACTCACTCGTTGCCTGCTATGTTGCTATTGTATCCTCACACCAAACGGGAACAAATGGTCATTGAACCGTGTCGTTGTGCATTTGCTGTCAGCGCTGCTTCATGGCAGATATCTGGGCACGTTGACGGGGCAGATGGAGCCTCGCTGGCGGCTTGTTTTGGGGGCTCTGCGTCGGCTGGAGCTAATTGAGCCAAAGGCAGGAGGAGAAGAAAAAAAAATGTGATTTTTTTTTTTTCCTCTTTCCTCTCTTTTCTTTTTGAGCTGTAAATAGCTGAGAGGGGGGGAAGGAAAGCCCGTCCAGTGTGATCAGTGTTGTGTGATGTAGCTTAGCTCTTTAGCCTGCTCGCATTGATTGAAGGCAGCCGGGTAGTTGGTGTGCAGGAGTCCAGCCTCTGGTGTCTCCAGTCAGATGTGGAGGCCCGGGTTAGAGCTCACATAATGCAGTGGTGCTGATGTGGACTCTGGGAAAAAAAACCCAGGCTGATCACTGAGGTGAAGGAACCAGGAGGTGTCTGTTCTAACGTTTTGTCACAGATTTGTTGGGCTATAAAAATGTTGTGGTGTGAAGATGCACAGCTGGGATGCTCTGACTCTTGCTTTTCATTCATAGCTTTACATGGAACTCATTGTACTTTTCGGATTAGTTGAATGCTCTTCTCATATGTTGGAGTTGTGAGTTTTTGTCAGGGTTGTCGGCATCACTGCAGTTTACCTCCAAAATTCAAAACCCTGATACCACAGGGATTGTTTTTATAGTCAATTATAATGTGCAGTGGATTAACTGACTGTGATGTTAGAGGAAGAAAGAAAGTGGGCGCAAGAGTTTAGATGATGCACTGAAATCTCACAGCTAGGGCTGCAGCTATTGGTTATTTTTTACTGTTGATCAGTTTGTCAGTTAATTTCTCAATTAATAAATTAGTTGACATGTCAGAACATGACTGTTAATGCGAGGGAATGTCTTCATGTCGTGTTTTGATCGCAGACTAAATTTTGTTTCTCAAATTATTAATCAATGATCAAAATAGGTGGTGATTAATCTAATAGTTGACAACTAATCGATGAATCACCGCGGCTCTTATGGTGGCCGTTGGGTCTTTGGTGTATTGGGTCGTCCCTGGTTTTAATTACACCTCACAGGCTTCATCAGTTAATTAAGTGACTCCGTCTCATTTACAAATAGGTCACAGTGCTGAGATGTAGCTCAAACACTGCCGAGATGTCATCGCAGCGTTGTTCCTAAACTGTCATATTGTGATTGGATTTCCAATATTTCTCATGTGCAGCAAAATTATGAGCTTTTAACGTGTTTTTTTTTTTAGAGTTTAGATAAAAAAATTTTAAAAATCCGTCTGTAAAGTCCTTCTTAATCTCTTTTTTTGTCTTACTTTTATAGAAATTTTTGGATTGTGTAGTAAAGAGGTGACAGAAAGAGGAAGGATGATGTGCAACAGGTTCAGTGTCTTTGCTTTTAACCAGGATGCTAACATGACAAAGTTTATGTCTGCAGGTGAAGTTCACATGACGATTCCAAGTCTAAACCCGAGTGTCTCTGTTGGTTTTTTAGGGGGGAGAACAGCAATCTTCTCTCGAAGATGTCCGTCCAGCGAACTAACTGGCTTGTGACGCTGATGCCCAGCAGAAGATCCTGGGATTGAGACGTGAATCCCTTTACACTGATGGCCTGGACTGAGTAAGAGGCTTGAACGTCTGGAAGTTTCGTGGTGTTTGATGTTGTTGTTGTTGTTGTGTGTGTGTGATGTGTTGGTTTCGTCCGTGACAGGTTTCAGCTGGCCTGCTGAAGCTATGGGGAGCTGTTGGAGCTGTCTGTACAGAGACCCCATCCGAGACAACCATCTCACCAAATTTAAGGTCGGTGATTGTGAAATATAATCAAATGCAACACACGTTTTCAGTGCTGTTGTGCATTTCGGTGCTGGTGATCAGCTGCATAGCATTATGCTGTAATAATCTGATGCATACCAGTAATCTAAACTCACACTCTCCTCTCTCTCCGTCTTCTTGTTTCCAGGTCACCAATGTGGATGATGAAGGTAATGAGCTGGGCTCTGGGATCATGGAGCTCACCCAGACCGAGCTCATCCTTCACACGCGGAAGAGAGACGCCATCCGGTGGCCGTATCTCTGCCTGCGCCGCTATGGCTACGACTCCAACCTGTTTTCCTTCGAGAGCGGCCGCCGCTGTCAGACCGGGCAGGGTAGGCCTCGTTGTCTCTGTTACACGACTGTAGGGTCGCGATGATTGTGTTTTCTCACAGCTGACGAATCGCAGCGTTTGGTAGGTTGTGAATGTGGGATTGTCAGATTGTCTGAGCATCTCACGAGCTGTGATTTGTCCGGTTTGTCGTCTGCCATGTCTGTTGCCAAGTTGCTGCAAGCATTCATCTTAAGTGGACGCAATAATCATCTCAAAAGACAAAGAACACCGGAAAGTCTGATCTTGGCATATGTTTTACACATTATTGGTACTTACCTGTGTTGTAACTGTAACCTTGACCAGTGCCTGTTGACTGGATTTACTCAAGCAAGCAAAACATAAAGTAGAGACTCTGTACTAAACTGTCAGATGACAATTTATTCGTGTGGTAGGTTATTTATAAATCTTATGCAACCATCTATTCTTAAGTGACTTGTGATTTTTTCCCCCCCTCACCTGCAGGTTTTTATTGTGTTATTGGTGTGTTGATTGTACACTAACATTGCTCACACTTTCCTCCTTTGGTTAGGAATCTTTGCATTTAAGTGTTCCCGGGCGGAAGAAATCTTCAATCTGCTCCAGGAGCTGATGCAATGCAACAGCATCAACGTGGTGGAAGAGTCGATGATGATGAGTCGCAGCGGCCACACGCCAGAGATGGACATGTCTCGCACGCCACAGACTCCCAACAGTGAGTCACACAGCCGCACAAACACAAGTAGAGACGTCTGCTTAATTATACACTTGATCTGAGATTAATTGTAGAACTTGCATGCAGCAGTAGAGCCGTAAATTTAGCAGAAAGTTATTAATAGAGTTGGAGTGAGTCAGAGATACAAAGGTATTCAAATAGCACCTGGTAGAGCTGAACCTCCGCACATCAGCTGCAGACTTCCACCTCAGACGAGCAGGTTTGGGCGACGGATTACGATAACCGTGAAGTTTCTCTCCGTTCGGCCCTGTGAGAAAATTCTAATATTAATAAATGACTTGACACAGGTTCATTTAGACAAGAGGAATGATTTTAAGTTTAGTGTTATGAACGTTTGAGTCGACTGGTAGTCATTAGTTCAAAGCATTCTAAACCATATTTATCTAGTTGTTGGCGCTTAAATATGCTCGCTTGCAGTCTCGCACACGAGCAGCTGCAGACACCGAGCTGTAGATGGAGGACTCTGTTCCATACAGGCACAGTAGGTTGGATCTACAGAAACCCTTGTGGCGTAGTTGCGGTCTGAGCCTTGGTCTGCACGAGGACGTCTGGAGGTGTGGCGACAGCAGCAATGCAGGTGTTGTACTGAAGCATTGTGCTGAAGACTCGATTTACCAGTTGGTCTCTGTTCCAACTGTCACCCGGGTAGTCATGGGCTCTGGGTAGGATGGGAAGAATGAGATGCAAGAGTTTCCTATATAGGGTGAGGAGCTCAGACATCTGAAGGGAGTTTGGAGTGGAGTCACTGCTCCTTTGCGTCGAAAAGAGCCAGCAAAGGTGGTTCGGGGATCTGGATGCCTCCTGAGTGCCTTCCTTTAAGGGTTTTCTGGGCACATCAAACTAAGAAGGGGGCAGACCCAGACGTCACTGAAAGAGATTACGTATCTCATCTGGCCTGTGGATCCTCCAGGAGGAACTGGGAAAGGCCACCGTGACCCGACAACAGATAAGGGGAAGAAAATGAATGGATGGATGGGTGAGGACCTCCGTGAAGGGGTCCACGTGGACTCTGGCAGACGTGGGGAGATGATGAAATTCATACCACACAGATCCTAGCGGACATTCCCGTACTCACAGATGTGAAGAGTGTAACCCTGATCTAGCATTAGGCTGTTTACACGTCTCAGATGTTAGGCTGTGTGTTAGCCTAATGGACGACAGGTGATTGTTTGCCTGTAGTGTTTATATGTTGTCTTGTTGCCAGACAGACTTCCTGCCAGACGTGTGTAATTACAATCTAATAACCACAGGGACCAATACGTCAGTAATGTCTTCGACACACATACATATTATTAGAGACACTGTATTAAACGTTAGCTTTTTTTGTCACTAAATCCACTAAAGCTGCAAAATCAATATGTTTATAATACCTGTATCAAATGTCAACGTAAACAGAAGTCTCTCGTAGTGGTGAACCTGCAGAGAACCCAAATCTGCAGCCGTATGCAGCTTTACAGATCTCTGTCAGCTCAGTGTTTAGCTGTACAGGCCCCAGCTTTAGTGTTTTTGTTTATTGTTGCTGCTTTTCTAGTGAGATGCACACCTTACCTACTCTAGGAAGCAACATCAATGCAAGTTTGTTGAGCCTATAATCAGACTTTTCAATGTCACAAAGGCTATTTTAATCGTCTAGATGATCATTGTAACTGCACAGCTAACCTGTTTCTGACTTAAATCGGCTGTAAGAAGCGCCACCCTCTCACCAATTCATGCAAAAAAAAAAAAAAAGAGTATGTATGTTATCAGGTTTGCTCCTGATTCGCTGCCCAGGGTATTTTACACTGCTGACGTTGAAGCTAATAGTGCAGCGGTTAGAGAATTGATTGGCATTTATCATTGAGAAAATCTGATCAATACGATTAATTTCATTTTGATTTATCCAAACACTACAGTGAATTCCACGTGTCCTTCGTCATGATACAGTGATAGACTTGGAGTATCGTGTTTAAATGTATGAAGTTTTAAGTTCAGGAGTTCTAATGTGCAGTTGTTAAAAAAAAAAAAACGTAAACGATGAACAATTTTCTACGAGCGTTTCTCTTCGGTGCTTTGTGCCGTGATACATTTTATGACTGAAGTAGGTAAAATAAGCGACGAAGGCACATGATCGGTCCAACAGTTCTTAGTTATTAACATAGACTTCAACTCTGAGACACATCTTCAGTGATGTATCCTGGGATCATTGGATGTTTTGGGTCTCACAACATCATACACATTCTCCCAGGCGACCCAGCCAGGGTTGGTCCGGCCCCGACTTGTGTCTGAGTAGCTTGTGTTGGCCCCGGATCCCCCCGCTTGGTCCACAGCCATCTTGACGCCTTTTCATCAGCGTCTGTGATGTTCCTGATGGCCTTCCTGGTGTGCGGTCCCTTCGTCCCCGAGCATCTCGAGGACCCTGATGAGAGACTGGCCAACGAATCCTCTGCACCCCACCTCCGTGGGGTTGTACCAGGTTCTCCACCACTTGCTTCGGCATTCACCTGCCAGCTCCTCATACTTGGCCCTCTTCCTCTTGAAGGCCTCCTCCATTCAGTCTTTGCCTTGATGTTTCAGACACCAGGAAGCTTTCTGGCCTGAGTGCGGTCACTGCGATGTTTCCTGGGAATCTGAGCTGTCTCCCGAGGTCGACCTTCATCAGAGTCTTAATAAAGGAGACCTGGTTAACAAAGAAAGCGCATAACCACCATTGCGATATTCATCTTCTCTGATTAGGGTTTTAGGTTTTGTTGAGCCAGTTAAAACAAAGAAAGCCTGAATATGTTGAACTTTGGTGCGCCCCTCTGCTCAGCTGGTATACAGAAAACCAACACAGTCAGTGATGATGATGATGGTGGTGAACAGCAGGTAGCAGCTAAAAAGCCAGAAGTTTACCTCAGAGAGCAAAATGGCTAAAAGACAGATAGATTCATCTGGACATGCTGCTCTAAAGAGACGATAATGCTGCTCCTTCACTGCTCCAGTAAACAGCTGTTTGTTACCAAGTTCACTGGAGTAACTCAGAAGGTTCACTTGTTTCCGCTGCCCCCAAGTGGCAAAAAAAATCCCCTACTGCAGGTTTAACCACAACAGAAATCTGTCCTCATTCAGTACTTTGAAATATAAAGTACTGAGAAAAACATTGTGATTAAAGTCGCATTGTTGCACCTTAATGATAAACACACAACTTCTGGCAAAACTATTTTTTTATGTATTTTAAACAAATGTCATCAAGCATTCTCTGTGACTAGAAAGTCAGAGTTAGAGCGACATTTGACGTGACATCAGTGTCCACGCTGGCAGCATCTGTTCCTCCTGCTATAGTTCTGCTTTAGTTTTGTTACCTGTTGGTGGTTGCAGTGCTGCTCTTAGCCTCTAATCATTTGCTTTCATGTGGATCGTTAACTTATATTCCTGCTAATATGATCATACTTTGCAGTTGTGCTGAACCTTTCTCAAAATGTTGAGAAGCTATCCAGTGTGCAGACTACAGAAAAATAACAGAATTTTGCATTATAGCAATGAAACATGTTGGTGTTTGCAAGATTTGTGTTCGCTTTGAAGTGAGAAGTAGCCTTAAAAGACAAGAAAACCTTGTAGATTCCTCTGAGGATGTGATCCGTCGCCCGTGTTTGTGTGCCGGTTTGACAGCTGGGAACATCTAGGTCGACAAAGCGGCATCTTTATCATTTTTTATTCAAGTGATGTTATATCTATTGTGACAAAAGGCTCATTTTTATTTCCTCTGAGACGGTTATTTGATCACGATTTATTCGTCTTTAATGCCAGTCAAAAGGTGAGGTCACACCTAAACTGGGAATGTAGGAGTTATTTTAATGATTGAGGAAAAGATTCCTGTTGTTTAGCGAATACGGCCACCTGCTGGAGTGTATTATCACAATAAAAATGAATACTGCTCCTGAATCTTTAGAGTCAAGGCAAGTTTTGGCTGATTGGAAAACAAGAAACAGTTACTATCAGCTGCTCAGCTTAATTTTCAAAGTCTGAAATTACACGTTGGATGTGCACATGTCAGCTTTCACACAACCCTTTCTTTTTGTCTGTGTCCTTACGTCACACTAATGTTTGCAGCTCCAGCATTTCCTGTCCAGGCTTTTCCCAACGGGTACCCCGGTTATCCAATCAGAGGTGATTCCTCCCAACCCTCTCTCGCTGATGATCATGGACACAGTCTCATGGGTTTGGAGGACCAGGTAAGACTTGTTCAAACGCTTCTTTTATAGCTCGCCTTATCAGTGCAAGGTCACAGTTTAAAGCTGGTTTAATTTTTACCAACAGACCCACACCTATGTAAATACTGTGAGTATGGAGGGGGATCTCTCTATGCGTCACTGTGTGCACTCCCTGCCCGAGGTTCGGCCCAACACTTTCCCCGAAACGACGCGGGGAGCCATGCCCGTCGGGGGCCAGGGGAATCCGCAGTCCAACCTGAGATGCTGTCCCCTCGAGGAGCATAAAGACCCTCAGGTGTTCTTGCAGCCGTCGTCGCAGGAGGTCAAATTCATGCTGGGCCCCACTCCGGCCCAACGCCATCTCCTGGAGAGGGAGAGGGAGAGAGAGAGGGAGAGGCACGGGCACAATCCACACAGCCTTCAGCCAGTAGAGGGGGCAACAGGCTCAGAGACGGAGGGAGACGAACCCTCAATGCACTTGTGCAACTCTCACTCCTACCACCATTTCCATCACCACGCGCACCGGCACCCGGGCCTCGAGCATCCCGACGGTTGCCAAAGCGGCGAGCTCACCTACGAGAATATCAACGGCCTCCGGGGCGTCCGGAAGCAGCGTCTGAGTCCCAGCAGCGTGTCGCAGTCTGTGGGTTCCAGCAGCAGCAGCAGTACCGGGGACAGCCACTCCCACTCCCTCCTGCATTCGCACCCCCACGGCCCGTCGTCGCTCCCCCCGCAGGGCTACGCCTGCGAGAGGGTCATGGGCGGAGGGCACCGTCGGACAGCTCTGCTCAACTACGAGAACCTGCCCTCTCTGCCGCCGGTGTGGGAGTACAGGGCTCTGCAGCGGGATGATGAGCAAGAGGAGGAAGACGACGATCAGGATGAGGAGGAGTACGAAGAAGAGGAGGAAGACTTTGACGAGTACGAGTTCTCAGAGGGTCCTGGGACACCCAACGGGTACCACCAGGACAGCCGGGGCATCCACAGAGATGCCCTGCAGAACTATGTTAACACAGAGCAGGTCCAGCCTTCCCGGCTTCGACACGCTTGCCCCCCGCATCCTCGGCCGTGTCAGCCAGACAGAGGGGGGCGAATATTTAGCTTTGATTTCCGCAGACGATCGAGGTCGGGGGTCGGGGGCTGCGAGCACAGCCACATGCCTCCGTCGCGGCAGCTGAATTACATCCAGGTGGACCTGGAGGGAGAACCTCCCTGCCAAGGCCTCAGCAGCGGGGGTGTCCAGACCCAGCCACAGCACCAGCGCCTACCACCCAAAAAATGTGGTCCGCAGGCACCCCGGCGCAGTGAATGCTACGCAGTCATCGACCTGAAGAAGACCGCTGCCATGTCCAACCTGCAGAAAGCTCTGCCCAGGGATGATGGGACTTCCAGAAAGACTCGCCACAACAGCACAGACCTGCCTCTGTAAATGGTGTTCAAACTGAAGAGGAGCGATGAAGACAGATGAAGGCTTATCCTCATCTTAGCACACTGGACCCTTCACTGTCATCCATCCATTCAACTGTCGGGCTGACTAATACAGTACAGGTACCTAATTAGAAACTTACTGAAACCTATCTGTGCATATAAAAAGGAAATGAGAAATCTCTGAGGAGAATTTGCCATTTTATTCTGTGTTATTTATCTGATATTTGGTGTGAAGCTCTCTTGAGAAATCTGCAGTTTTGACTGCAAATACTGTTTGCTGGATATATGGATATTTATATAGAAGCATAAAGTCTCATACATACAGGGGCATGCAAAGGTTTGGGCACCCTTGGTCAAAACTCGTGTTCATGTGAACGATTAAGCAAGTGGACGATGAAATGATCTCCAAAAGGCATGAAGTTACAGACGACTCATTCCCTTTACATTTTAAACAAGGTCTTTTACATTATCAAAATAACAGATAACAGAAAAGGACCTCAGCAAAAGTTTGGGCACCCTGCAGAGTTTTGTTTTATTTATTATTTTTCGGGGCTTTTTCGCCTTTAATGGACAGGACAGTGAAGACAGACAGAGGAATGCTGGGAGAAGAGTGGGGGGATGGACATGCAGCAAAATGAGCCACTTGCTGGACTCGAAACGCGGCCGCTGCATCGGGGACTACAGCCCTGTCCATGAGTCACCCCGGCACCCTGCATAGTTAATACCTAGTAGCACCCCCTTTGGCAAGTGTCACAGCTTGTAAACGCTTTTTGTAGCCAGCCAAGAGTCTTTCAATTCTTGTTTGAGGGATTTTCGCCCATTCTTCCTTACAAAAGTCTTCCAGTTCTGAGATTCCTGGGCCGTCTTGCTCACTCTGCTCTTCTGAGGTCCATCCACAGGTTGTCAGTGATGTTTAGGTCAGGGGACTGTGAGGGCCGTGGCAGAACCTTCAGCCTGAGGTCATCCATCGTGGATGTTGATGTGTGCTTTAAGGATCATTATCCATTTGTAGAAGCCATCCTCTTTTCAACTTCAGCTTTTTTGCAGATGGTGTTATGTTTGCTTCCAGAATTTGTTTGAATTTAATTGAATCCATTCTTTGCTCTACCCGTGAAGTGTTCCCCGTGCCACTGGCTGCAATACGACCCCAAAGCATGATCGATCCACCCCCATGCTTAACAGTTGGACAGGTGTTCTTTCTGTACACTTTGCTCTCCAAATATACCTTTGGTCATTCTGGCCAAAGAGTTTTATTTTAACCTCATCAGATCACAAGACTTGTTTCCA